CGACTTAGTGAAAAATAAACGTTAAAGACTAAAATGCAATCTTGTATTAACAGATTTGACAGCGTTTAAGTGCTCAAGACTTTTTTTTTTTTTTTTTTTAAATGTCATTGTGGAGATGTGTTCTTTTTAATCAATCATCTGTCTGAAAGCTGGCAGAGCAAAGTGAGTCTTACATTTCCACTGTATGTAACTATTACACACAAAGGGTATTAATGTGCCAATACTTCTATTTTTAAAACCTGCACACATGTATATATTTTGTTACAGATTCATGGTAAAATGAGGACGATAGGATTCAAAAGCCCCTTTGATGAGAGCAAGGAACAAAAATAAATAATTTCAGAAAATATGTAACTCCAGGGAAAATCGAAATGTTTTGGGTGTTTCTTTCACCATTAAGTTTAGTAGTCTCACCCAAATCACATTACAGCCCTTAGTGTGGGCCCTGATGTTGCTGCAAATGAGATGCTTTGATTTATTTCCTGACAATAATACAGCAGGATTGGATGGAAGTATAGATAGGAGGTAGAGAGAATGCCTTTAGAGAAATATGGTGCTGAATACAGACTGGAAACAGTGGAAGACTCCTGTTCACGTTCAACACAAAGCTATTTCTAGGTGTCAGGCTGTTCTTAAAGAAATGCGATCACTTCTCTGGAAATCATACTGTTGAATGTATAGCTTGGAGGAAAGACGAGACAGGGGGATATGATAGAAACATTTAAATACATAAAGGGAATCAACACAGTAAAGGAGGAGACTATATTTAAAAGAAGAAAAACTACCACAACAAGATTGCATAGTATTAAATTAGAGGGGCAAAGGTTTAAAAATAATATCAGGAAGTATTACTTTACTGAGAGGGTAGTGGACGCATGGAATAACCTTCCAGCTGAAGTGGTAGAGGTTAACACAGTAAAGGAGTTTAAGCATGCGTGGGATATGCATAAGGCTATCCTAACTATAAGATAAAGCCAGGGACTAATGAAAGTATTTTGAAAATTGGGCAGACTAGATGGGCCGAATGGTTCTTATCTGCCGTCACATTCTATGTTTCTATGAATAAAACATGGAAAATCCCCTATAACTTGTGTTAACCTTTGGAATATTGGGAGGGAAAGAACACCTCCATTGACATTATTTGTGACAATTTCACTTTAATGTGTTATATTTAAAGTAAATCATACAGCACAGTGTATGTATAACATACAGTTTACATATTTGTGGAATGAATATTCTTGAAAACATTTTTTAAAATTGTGGGTGTTTTTTACATTTTAAAAATGTAAAACACACTGCATTCCGTGCACACACACACAGAGAGACACACACCATCCCCTGCACACAGACACAGCCTGCATTCCCTGCACACACACAGAGACACACTGCATTCTCTGCACAGATGCAGACACACACTGCATCCACAGCACAGAGGCGGCACTGGGAAGCTGGGCACAAATATGGCACTAATAAGCTTTTTGGGGGCATAGCTGGCATGGTAGGAAGTGGGTGACATGTGACCTGGGTTGAGAGTGTGTGGTTTCCATAGAAATTAGGTGTGGTTAGAAGTGTTATGTTTGTAAAGGGAAGGAGTTATCAATATAGCCACACCCACCAGTGGGCATCAAAAATATTCTTACACCCAGGCATCAGTGACCCCAGGATCGGCTCTGGTTTGGGGTTAATACAGCCGGTGTGTAGTTTATAAATATAGGTTTATATAATACTCTGAATTTAGTATGTCAGTGTGTGTGTGTCACTATATCTGTGTGTGAGTGCGTGTGTGTGTCAGTATGTGTGCGTCAGTATGTCTGTGTGTGTGTCAGAATGTCTGTGTGTGTGTGTGTCAGTGTATCTATGTGTCAGTATGTCTGTCTCTGTGTCAGTATGTCTGTCTGTGTGTCAGTTCGTCTGTGTGTGTTCATATGTCTGTCAGTCACTATGTCAGTGTGTGTATCTCTATGTTGTCAGTATGTGTGTCAGTGTGTTTATCTGTGTATCTGTATTTAGTCAGTATGATACCGGAGAAACTGACGGAAGCAAAGCACAGAGAGATGGACACAGGTTTCTTCAGGAAGGAAGAGATTCTTTATTGGATCACCGATCGGGACTCAGAGGGACTAATGTCACCAAAAATACAGCAAGTTCTGAGTGCCGAACAATAGTGCAGGCTCCCTATATAGGCACATAACTCCTCCCATATTAAGCTCCACCCGCACATTCTCTTGACCAATCATTACAAATAAGAATTAACTTCCTGCTTGACCGCATGGCTTGTCCAGCACAATGGAGGAGGGGAATACTACATCCAGGGCCGGACTGGGGATACAAAGCAGCCCTGGAAAAAAAATTTGTGCCAGCCCCATAAGTCACTGTGCCATATATTGTCGCGTGTAATATGTAAGGCTATGTCTTGCCAGGACAGATGATTGAGTAATATATATATTTCATTGTAATCATGATGTGAATGGTAATTCTGGATATTTTTCTAGTAAATTAATGTGTTAATATGGAGATACACATGGGATTTTTTGGATTAGGTAAGTCTCATGTTTATATCTATATTTATGCCCTTGAAACTGACGCTTTTCCCGTGGGATTCTGATAGGATCCTTACTTGGTTAGTTTGACAAGCCTAATTGTATAAATTCGGAGTTATTGGTAGCTATGGTTAACTCAGCCGACGGCTTATTCAGCCGTTCAGTTTAATTTATATATCTAACATGTTGTAAATAATATAATGGTCAGATTTATAGACTGTATAAATAGTTGAAGGATTATATCCCCATGAAATTAGCGCAAGATAGTGGATACATTGTTTTTAGAATTAGAGTAGTGTGTTAAATCACATTTGTTTTGTTAGGTTGCTATGGTGACGACCTTTGGCCGCGTCATTGAACGTGACGCCGTGCGGCTGCAGACGTGCGTCGGTCAGCCGGCGGCAGTCCCGGTCCGGGCGTCCATGGAGTCAGTCACTTCACAAGTGTGGTGAGTTATTACTTATGTTATGGTATAAATGTGGGTTTATCTGTATACACATTATGTCCTGATGAAAGCCTAAGGTTATTGGGCTGAAACGTTGACATTTTGGATATTTGAAAGGTAATTAAAGCAAACTTTTTTCAAGTCCCTGGAGTGCTATCTTTGGAAACTTTTTTTGTATTTTGGCTGACAAGCACCGGGCATTATATCAATTAAGAAGGTGGAGTGCAAGATTATTCTCAATTTTTATATATATATATATATATATATATATTGCTTTTTCTAATATAAAATATTGGTCCTTTCAGGGTAAAACGTTTAATTATACAGTAAGCATACGCACATGCAGACACAGGCAATTTCACTGACATTTCAGTGACACACACAAGCTCATTGATACACAGCCTCATAGACAAACAATCTTACTGACATACATCAGCTCATTGACATAAAAACACAAGCTCACTCACTAGCAGGCACACGCATGCAAGCAAGCTCACTCACTAGCAGACGCACACACACAGCTTAATGTGGTGGTACTGGTGTCTATATCATGTCCCTACAGGCTTTTCAACGTAAACACTGACTTTTCAGACAAAAGGCAGTGTTTACATTGCTTCAAAGTGACACTGCTAGTGACAGTCACTCAGACGGTCACTAGAGGTGCTTCCTGTGTTAGTGCCCTCCCGCCCTGAATGAGACTGGCGCCGGAATATGACGTCATATTCCGGCGCCGGTCTCATTCAGCTGCGTGCTGGGGAGCAGAGCCAGCGCAGCTCGCGCAGCTCCCTCAGCGGCCGCCAGGACAAGTCCGCCAGCGGCCGCCAAAAGACCTCCCCAGCGGCCAGGGGAGGGCTGGCAGCCTTAGGCCTGGGGGGCAAAACCAGTCAAGTAGACTGGTGCACCTGCCCAGGATCAGAGCCGGTGCAAGGATTTTTGCCGCCCTAGACAAAATAAAAATTTGCTGCCCCCACATGTCACATCACAATGCCCCACCCATATGATCTGCCATATGAACTAACGCCAGTGCTGCACACAGTGTGTGTTTACATTAAAAAGCCTGCAGGGACCAGCTATAGACACCAGAACCACTTCATTAAGCTATAGTGTCCCTTTAATGTGAGGTAAATTATAGATTAGTGTCACTAATAATATACTAGATTGCCTACTTACAAGCAGATGAGGATGATGATGGGCTGCAGTTTGGCTCCACTGGTCTGGAGTAGAACAGGATCTCTGGAGGCTGTTTGCAACTGTGGTCACAAAATTCAATGTTCTGGGAGAATTGGAAGCAGCTCAATTTTTTGGGGGCCCCTTACACAGCTCAAGGTCTGGGCCCCAGGGCCTGACGGTGAGTATGCCCATAGGCCCACTCATAAGTTCCACCCACCCATGAGTTCGCTCACAGGGAGTGGAGTGTGTAGGGGATGTGTTATGTGTTATTGTAGAGGATCTAATATGTGTGCTTATGGTATGTAGTGTTTAGGGTTACCAGTTTGTGCAGGTGATGCAGTGTGTTTGTGTGTAGTGGAAGCAGTGTGTATTTGTGTATAAGGGATGTATTATGTGTTTCTGGTTGTGTGTAAGGGATGCATTGTGTGAATCTGTGTTTGTATGCATAAGGGATGCAAGGTGTGTGTCTGTATGTGTGTGCATGAGATGCATTGTGTTTCTGTGTGTATGTAAGAAAAGAAGTGTGTGTGTTTGCATGCGTGTGTACGGGTTTGCATTGTCTGTTTCTGTGTATGTGTGCAAAGGATGCATTGTCTTTGTGTGTAAGGGTTGCATTGTGTGTGTGTGTGTAATGGATGCATTGTGTGTTTCTCTGTGTGTAAGGGAAGCATGTTGTGTTTCTGTGTATGTATAGGGATGCATTGTGTGTGTGTGTGTGCGCGCGTAGTGTGAAAGAGCTCCCTGTCTTGGCCCCTGTCCTATAGAGCTGCCCCTTCTTCTTATTCCCCTCCCTCCCCTCTTCTTATTCCCCCCCTCTTTTTATTCCCCCCCTATCTTATTCCCCCCCTCCCCTCTTCTTATTCCCCTCCCTCCCCTCTTCTTATTCCCCTCCCTCCCCTCATCTTATTCCCTCCCTCCCTCTTTTTTATTCCCCTCCCCTCTTCTTGTCCTCCTCCCTCTTCTTGGCCTTCCCTCCCTCCCCTCCCCTCCCTCTTCTTATCCCTCCCTCCCTCTTCTTGTTCCCCTCCCTCCCCTCTTCTTATTCCCCCCACTCCCCTCTTCTTATCCATCCCTCCCCTCTTCTTCCTTTATCCCTCCACTCCCCATCTTCTTATCCTCTCTCCCCTCTTCTTATTCCCCTCCCTCCCCTCTTCTTATTCCCCTCCCTCCCCTCTTCTTATTCCCCTCCTCCCTCTCTTATTCCCCCCTCCCCTCTTCTTACCCCCTCCCCTGTAGCGTGGCCGAGCTGCACTCCGGTCCGCGGTGGCCGGCCGGCCGGAGTGATGGGAAGGTGCACGCTGAGTGTGCACTTCCTGTCAGTCCGGCCGGTTACAGGAAACAGAAACTCCGTGCGGAACAGGAGTTTCTGTTTCCTGTAACCGGCCGGACTGACGGGAAGTCGCACACTCGGTCTCCGACTTTCCGACAACCATGAGACGGTGCGGCTCATTCCCTCTGAAAGGCTGAAGCCTGAGGCTCTTAACAGAGCGCTCGGGCGGCTGCAGTATTTAAAGGGCCAGCCCGCCCCTGACAGTGAGAGGAGCAGGGCCGCCGGACCGGGGAAGCTGCCACCCGGCCCGGCGGCTCCAGCCAGGAACGCGGCCGGCCCCCAGGTGCCGCGGCACACCGGGAAACCCGGTATCCCGGTGGGCCAGTCCGGCCCTGCTCTCCGCCTTGTGAACCTCCCCTGGTTGTGTCACAAACTGGGCCACAAACGATAATGTGACAAGCAGGAGTGTTTGAGTTGAATGAGAATACATCGAGCAGGACGTGGGTGTTTGCTTGGTTGGAAACTATGCACTCCAACGATTATGATCAACAACTACTATGCTTACCAACAACTAGAGTCCCTAAATATGATGCACCCCAACAACAATGCCCCCACATCTATGCTCGCCAACTAATGTTCACCTATAACTATACTATGCTGCTACGTTGTACTTGTGCTGCGTTGATGGCAGGTTGTATGAAGAATCTGGAGAAATCATCTAAGGTAAATGACCATTCTTAGATGTTTGCTTTCCTAAGATGGAAAAATACTGAACATTGTAAACTGTGTTTATTTGTTCTCATTTCAAGCATTGTATTGTACATTGCTAAAATTGTTACATAATGAATGTCTGTTACAAGGATAACGGAGTGAGACAGGCGGAGTTCAGTGGGCTGGGGACTCTGCAATAAAATTGCAGAATGTTCCATAAATCTTCTCCCAGCCTTTCTCAGATTAATCATATTTATACCAGTAACTGCAAACAATCACCATTTCTACTGTCTTGATAATTTGAGACAAATGACCGTACAATGCACTTTGTATTTTATTTATTTTTCACCTTGAGATCTCCATCCAGAGTGAATGCCATTTCTGAAAACACATGTTGGGGGAGGAAGCAGCATGTTTTATAGCTCGTACATCTTTTATTCGCCCTAATGTGTCACATTGCGACGAATGAGCTCCTAATTACCCTGAGAAACTACATATGCATATTTCAAGACTTAAACATTTTTACACTTTCATATTTTCATCCTTTATTAGATTTTCTCCTGCAAAAAATATTAACGCCTCCAGGACCAACAGCAGAACAATTCTGTCATCACAAACAATTGTATTTAACTCCGTGTCATTAACTCCTTCAATACTGAGCACTTTAAGATTGAACAAATATTAGCATAACATTTGTTTGAAGCAAGGGATGCATAGCTAGCATTCAAACATAACACAGCAATTTTGTGTATAGATTGCTTTGCTTACGAACTTAAAAGGACTATCCAGTGCCAGGTAAACAAAATTGTTTTCCTGGCACAGCAGGTCCCCTCTCCCTCCCACCCCCCCAATCCCCGGTTGCTGAAGGGGTGAAAACCCCTTCAGTGACTTACCAGAGGCAGCGACATGTCCCACGTCGTTGCTTCTTCCTCCGCCGCCGCTCCTCCTCTTCATTACGTCGGCCGGTGGGCGAGACTGATCCCGCCGGCTGGCCGGGGAGATCTAATGCGCATGTTTGGCAATGTTGCGCATGCACATTAGAGCTCTCCATAGGAAAGCATTGAAAATGCTTTTCAATGCTTTCCTATGGGGAATTGAGCGATGCTAGAGGTCCTCACACAGCGTGAGGACGTCCAGCGATGCTCTAGCACAGGTTTTCTGTGTTATAATCCAGGAAGGGCCCTCTAGTGGCTGTCTAGTAGACAGCCACTAGAGGTGGAGTTAATCCTGCAAGGTAATTATTGCAGTTTATAAAATTAGAACTAAAACCAGACATCCACTTGTCCTTACATATCCCAGGTGGGGATTGTGCCACTAACGTTGTTAGCACTGAGCATGTGTATGCTCCTTTAAATGTAAGTACATTTCATTGAAATTTTTAAGCTGTATTTGCACTTCAAACAGAGAGCACTATTTTTTGTATTTCTATTTTTATTACATGCATATTGAATACATACGGAAGAACACTTACCAAAAGGAATATCCGTGAGCGGGTATTATACAGCTTCATGCTTTGACTAAGAGCTGAATTGTAAGCTCTTTGTTTGTGAGTGTATTTTGTATCTCCTTTTAATTTACCCTTTGGCTGTTTTATTGGGTTACACGATTGGATTTTTCTCTACTATTATATTATGTGAGTCGTGCATGTTGTGAAGGTGTTAATACATACATACTGGTGTTCCTGAAGAGATTCTGAGTGTTTATCTACTACATATCCCGTGACAGGGATTGTATTGTCAGACGCTGATACATGAGAGCTAATATATAGCTCCTTTTTTTGTGAGTGCATTTTCTATGAGCTCTGGTCATTTTATATCATGGAATCCACATAAGTTGGTGATCACATTACAGTACCTGCTGTACTTTACCTCCCCTATCAAGAATTCTGCTATCAATCGCATTTGGGACTATTCTGTAAATACTATTTTACTACTTTTTATTATTAGTGCTGTTTAACATCTCTATGCCAACATTTGGCGCAGCCTGTTTTTTTATCTCTACCTTTGCTATTCTCTCTTGGACTGTTGGGGTATCCAAGTTTCAGTGTTTGTTCTCTATTGAAACCAGCACTTTTTGTACTAGCAACATCTTTTTTCTACATTCCATTGGTGACTCCTCCCATTTCCCCCAATTTATGGACAGAACACTTTGAGAAATCTGTGTGTGCGCGTGCATGTGAATATTTTTGTATTTGTGTGCAATGTGTTCCTATACACAAATATACAGATACGTGTGTATGTAGATATTTAAACGCTTGTTTTCTCTGTATGTTTATGATACATACATATACTTATTAGACCTGTTAGAGTATCTCTCTCACTCTGATCTGCTTCACTGACAAACTTCAATATTTTCAATTTATTTGAATGTCTATTTTTGTTTTTTGTTTGTGCTCACTTGTTGTAACCTCTGTAACACAGCTCAGATTTGATTTGCACATGTCGGTTTGGTCTGACATTTCTAATCTTGATAAAGGGAGCAACAACTGAAGGTTAGTCATTACAAAATGCTGTTAGTCAGAAATAAAGCATTTGTAAAATACTACAGCACCTAATTATTCTCTCTCTCTCTCTTTGTATATTCTGCTGGGACCAATTAATACAACATACAGACATACAGGACATTCACTCACTACACACCAGCTTCAAAGCTCACAAAATGTAATAGGTTTTATTTTATTTTTAAAACACCTGATGTAAGCAGACATAATGGGGGTTTATTTACGGTTTATCACAATACATTGCATAGCCCTGCTGTAATGCTAATGTACCCCTTTTTTACCCTGGTCCAATCCTAGCAACCTAACGCCTGCTCTTATAAGATTAATCCACCTATTTATTAACCCATCATCGTGAGGCTACCTGCAGAACAAGGTTATATAGGGTTCTGGAATAAGGGCACCTGTGACAGGAAGAAGTGCAGCACCTGAGAGTTGGCCTGGACTCCCAAATATATTTATATAGGGAGCAAGAGGACTGCAAATCACCCCCCATTTATATGCAAAACTTTCTTTATCTCTCTCTCTTTGTGTTTTGCTTGGAACATGATGATAATATTGTATTCCTTGGTAGACTTTATTTTTAGATAACATTATACTGACAATACCTATTATACAAGATAGGTGCCTGAATAAATGAATAATAAATGCTAAGCAAATAAAGTATGCAGCAAACATCAGTAGCTGGATTAGAACTAGGGTTTGGCACAACGGTATTATATTTCACTCTGTTACACATTGTAGCTACAATTAAATATTACATTACAAAATCCAAGCTGAAAAAACCCTTGTTAGAGTTAGGGAGGAGGATTGGAGTCTCTGACAGGTCCTTCAAGTTCATCATTAATATCAATATGATGTGAAAAGCACAGATAATATGGACAGTATTTTGGAAGGAAATATACAGAAACAGGACTTGTTTTTGATGATGCAGATGGTTTTGTTATTATTGGTAACACCTGTATCAGGTTAGGGTGATAGGGCTTGACGACGATGTCCTTTATAGAAATGATAACTTTAAGAGTTAGGCATTGGGGGTTTTAAGGTTTGTGTTACGGTTAGGATTATGGGTTGTGTTTCGAGTTGAGGATTTGTATATGGAGTAATAGTCTACTTCATTATTATTATACTTTAAAACATCCACTAAGAACCATTTATTATTAATTACTTTTCAAACAGCTCTATGATAAAATACAGTGACATTTTGTGTGCATCATGTTAGCGGTTAGGGGAGTTAGGGTTCATGGTTAGGGGATATGTGTTCATCATGTTTGTGGTTAGGGGAGTTAGGGGATATGTGTTTATCATGTTAGCGGTTAGGGGAGTTAGGGTTCATGGTTAGGGGATATGTGTTCATCATGTTAGTGGTTAGGGGAGTTAGGGTTCATGGTTAGGGGATATGTGTTCATCATGTTAGTGGTTAGGGGAGTTAGGGTTCATGGTTAGGGGATATGTGTTCATCATGTTAGTGGTTAGGGGAGTTGGGGTTCATGGTTAGGGGGATATGTGTTCATCATGTTAGTGGTTAGGGGAGTTAGGGTTCATGGTTAGGGGATATGTGTTCATCATGTTAGTGGTTAGGGGAGTTAGGGTTCATGGTTAGGGGATATGTGTTCATCATGTTAGTGGTTAGGGGAGTTAGGGTTCATGGTTAGGGGATATGTGTTCATCATGTTAGCGGTTAGGGGAGTCAGGGTTCATGGTTAGGGGATATGTGCGCATCATGTTAGTGGTTAGGGGAGTTAGGGTTCATGGTTAGGGGATATGTGTTCATCATGTTTGTGGTTTGGGGAGTTAGGGTTCATGGTTAAGGGATATGTGTTCATCATGTTAGTGGTTAGGGGAGTTAGGGTTCATGGTTAGGGGGATATGTGTTCATCATGTTAGTGGTTAGGGGAGTTAGGGTTCATGGTTAGGGGATATGTGTTCATCATGTTAGTGGTTAGGGGAGTTAGGGTTCATGGTTATTGGTAGATTTTGGGTTAGAACCAACATACTCACTATTGACTCATCAACATTTCAACTATGTTAAAATAATTAGCTCCGTACATAATTTCATACACATGGAAGTTTTTAATTTATTTTTCTAAAATTCTTGTTTTCCCATAAATCAACCCGAATTACTGAGTAGGTTGAGAACTTGTCATTGTTATTATTTTTATTTTTTATCTTATGAGGTCATGGCAATTATCTGAGTGAAAAATAAGGATTATCATCTTATCAGAATCTTAATTTGAATTACT